GACATAATAGTCAAGTGGTGATGAAAACAGATTAGAAATCTGGTCCCTTCTCTCAGGGCATAAGTTCAAACCCTACTGATGACAACAGATTAGAAATCTGTTCTGAAGAAAATTTTGTTGGCTAGTAAACAGTGTCAGGTGTAGCAAATGTGTGTGTGTGGACAACAATGTGTGATGAACAATGTGGTGTGAATTAGTAGACACATTGTAGTGTGGCTCATTTTTGATTAGGAAAATGTAGTACACAATGTCTGAATTAGTGGACACACAAGTGTGGTGCATTTTTGATTAGCAAAGTGTGGTAAACAATGTTTGAATTAGTGGACACACAAGTGTGGCGCATTTTTGATTAGTAAAAGTGTAGACAAAGTGTGGTAAACAGTGTGGTGTGATTTTGAATTAGTGGACACACAAGTGTGGCGCATTTTTGATTAGCAAAGTGTGGTAAACAATGTTTGAATTAGTGGACACACAAATGTGGCGCATTTTTGGTTAGCAAAGTGTAGCAAACAGTGTGGTGTGATTTTGAATTAGTGGACACACAAGTGTGGCGCATTTTTGGTTAGCAAAGTGTAGCAAACAGTGTGGTGTGATTTTGAATTAGTGGACACACAAGTGTGGCGCATTTTTGGTTAGCAAAGTGTAGCAAACAGTGTGGTGTGATTTTGAATTAGTGGACACACAATTGTGGCGCATTTTTGATTAGTAAAAGTGCAGACAAAGTGTAGCAAACAAGTGTACAAAAGTGTGGGAAAAAGTGTTGCACACAAAGTGTAGCCAAAGTGTAGTCCAATTAGCCAGAATTGCGGTCCATTAGCACTTTTGGTAGTGTTGAAACAATTGTGTTGCACTGCCACCATCAAAAAATCTGTCAGAGTCCAAAAGTGCCCAAAACGCGATTTAGTGGACACCTAAACTCACGCCTCTTGCGCCCCAGGGCAAACGCGACCAAACAAATGGCTGGGCCCTATATAGGGCAAGTGGGCTCAACAACAATTAATGATGATAAATGACTCCTTTGAACTACATTTTGGTTAATGATCCCTATGATGATGGTAACCATATGATATGAGGCTTGACATATCATAAATCAATGATGAGCTGCATTGATTTAATTAGGGTGACACAATTGGATATAAGGCTTGAATGATGAGCTGCATTGATTTGATCAGAGACCAAGATGGGTTTAATGGAATCATTTGTTTGAATATATATGTAGAGATCATACATTTCCAGATCTATCTACATTGTTGAGTCTACAGCTGCCAGAGGGGCATCTGGCCAGTCCTTCCATTGTTGGAAGGATGGGTCTAGGTCCTCTCTTGGAGTCCTTTGGCAACAAAGGACTTTGAGAGCGGAAATAGATCCATTCTTCTGACGATGGTAGGGGATTGGATCAAAAAGAAGCCTCTTTGGTAGAGATACAGAAAAATAATAGATGATATATTGGGGGGGGTAAAAGCAAAAGAAATGTTGATTAGAATGTTCATAGATGATCACTAAACCTTGCTTAATAATAATGCTAATGCTTGAATTAGTGGCGCATTTTGTGTTTAGGGCAGGCTTGATTGATACATGAACAGATCTTAAGTTAACCCATACTATTTGTTGTTTAGGGCAGGCTTGAGTGATACATGATGAGTAGGAGTGTAGCAAAAAGTGCACAAAAAGCGGTAGCAAAAGTGTAGTCAAAGTGTAGACCAAGAGTGTAGTAGAAGCGTACCAAAAAGTGTAGTCAAAGTGTAGTCAGTCAAGAGTGTAGTAAAAGTGTACCAAAAAGTGTACCAAAAAATGTACCAAAAGTGTACCAAAAAGTGTACCAAAAAGTGTACCAAAAAGTGTGGTCAGTCAAGAGCGTAGTAAAAGTGTACCAAGAGGTGTACCAAAAGTGTACCAAAAAGTGTACCAAAAAGTGTACCAAAAGTGTACCAAAAGTGTAGTCAGTCAAGAGTGTAGTAAAAGTGTACCAAAAAGTGTACCAAAAGTGTACCAAAAGTGTAGTCAGTCAAGAGTGTACCAAAAGTGTACCAAAAAGTGTAGTCAGTCAAGAGTGTACCAAAAGTGTACCAAAAAGTGTAGTCAGTCAAGAGCGTAGTAAAAGTGTAGTGGAGGCATATCAAACTGTAAAGAAGTGTTTAAAGGATTAGCCAAGGTGTAGGAAATCATAGGCATGATAGTCAAGTGGTGTTGAAAACAGATTAGAAATCTGGTCCCTTCTGTCAGGGCATAAGTTCAAACCCTACTGATGACAACAGATTAGAAATCTGTTCTGAAGAAAATTTTGTTGGTTGGTAAGCACAGATGTGGCAGATGTGCAGACAAAGTGTAATAAACAATGTGATGTGATTTTCACTTTAAGTGTAACAAATGTGGCGCATTTTTGATTAGGAAATGTGTAGACAAAGTGTGGTAAACAATGTGGTGTGATTTTGAATTAGTGGACACACAAGTGTGGCGCATTTTTGATTAGTAAAAGTGTGGACAAAGTGTGGTAAACAATGTGGTGTGATTTTGAATTAGTGGACACACAAGTGTGGCGCATTTTTGATTAGCAAAGTGTAGTAAACAATGTTTGAATTAGTGGACACACAAATGTGGCGCATTTTTGATTAGCAAAGTGTGGTAAACAATGTTTGAATTAGTGGACACACAAATGTGGCGCATTTTTGATTAGTAAAAGTGTAGACAAAGTGGAGTAAACAGTGTGGTGTGATTTTGAATTAGTGGACACACAAGTGTGGCGCATTTTTGATTAGCAAAGTGTAGTGAACAATGTCTGAATTAGTGGACACACAAATGTGGCGCATTTTTGATTAGTAAAAGTGTAGACAAAGTGGAGTAAACAGTGTGGTGTGATTTTGAATTAGTGGACACACAAGTGTGGCGCATTTTTGGTTAGCAAAGTGTAGCAAACAGTGTGGTGTGATTTTGAATTAGTGGACACACAATTGTGGCGCATTTTTGATTAGTAAAAGTGTAGACAAAGTGTAGCAAACAAGTGTACAAAAGTGTGGGAAAAAGTGTTGCACACAAAGTGTAGCCAAAGTGTAGTCCAATTAGCCAGAATTGCGGTCCATTAACACTTTTGGTAGTGTTGACACAATTGTGTTGCACTGCCACCATCAAAAAAATCTGTCAGAGTCCAAAAGTGCCCAAAACGCGATTTAGTGGACACCTAAACTCACGCCTCTTGCGCCCCAGGGCAAACGCGACCAAACAAATGGCTGGGCCCTATATGTGGGGGTGAACACAACAAACACATTTGGTAATCAACCAAGCTTGTTTAACACTTTTTTAAACCACAACCAATGAATGGTCTATGAAGCTAACTAATGAATCTAATCGATCATTAGGATCATTGTTAGTCAGATCACTTTGCTTGCTGGTCAATTAGGGTTATCCTAGTCGAACTACATGTGGTGTAGGCTTTCACTTGTACCAATGGACGGTCTTCAGATGCTTTCTGATGGACTAGCTTGATCTGCTAGCTCATCGTTGGCTAGACCGCTTTGCTACAAGCTGATGGCCTACCTTGTCAGTCATTGGTAGATTTGCTAGTGTCGGCGTCGTGCTTCATCCTTCACACTGGGGTTTTTATCAAGCTGGTGAAGCGCTATTGTGAGCACAACCGATGAACGGTCCCCTGACGCTAATCGATGAGTTTGATCGATCATTAGGCTCGTCGTTAGTGAGATCGCTTCGCTTGTCGTTCCTTTAGGGTTTTTCTAGTCAAGCTACATGTGGTGTAGGCTTTCGGCTGTACAAATGAATGGTCTCCAGATGCTTTCTGATGCGCTAGCTTGATTTGCTAGTTTGTCGTTGGCTAGACTGCTTTGTTACATGTCGATGTCTACCTTGTCAGTCCTTGGTAAAAATTCCTCATCTCGGTTCACTTTGGATTTAATCAAGCTAGTTAAATGCTATTGCGAGCACAATCGATGAACGGTCCCCTGACGCTAATCGATGGGTTTGATTGATCATTGGGATCATCGTTAGTGAGATCGCTTCGCTTGTCGTTCCTTTAGGGTTTTTCTAGTCAAGCTACATGTGGTGTAGGCTTTCGGCTGTACCAATGAATGGTCTCCAGATGCTTTCTGATGTGCTAGCTTGATCTGCTAGTGCATCGTTGGCTAGACCACTTTGCTACATGTCGGTGTCTACCTTGTTGGTCATTGGAAGTGCGAGTAGTAGAAGGGGGGGAGGGGGAGTTCATTCAAGGTTGAAAGCAATGGTGTCTGGAGGCAGACTAGTTTCAAGTCTTGCTCTTTGGTGCACCTTCTGTCAAGTATGCCTTGCTATGGCTAGCTTCATCTGAATCCTAGTCATGGACGTGCTTGCGTAGTCGAGATGAACTGATGGGAAATGATGTATGCTGGGCGATTTACAGATCCGTTCGTGGTCTGATGTTTTCCAAGCTTGTCTAATACGTGTCAGTGTTAGCATTGAGAGAAGGGTGTGGATTGATTGCCGATGGCTAGACCAGACACGATCAACCACTCGAGGATCCGCCGTGACTGAGAGATGTTTGTTGGACATTTCCGGTGACTGGTAGTCTTCATGGAGGAAGGAAATCTATGTCTATATAAGACATAGGGCAGCCTATCTAAGATATGTGAGATCGGGGGAAACAAGGCAGACTCGTCATGACTAGGAATGAAACTCCTGAGCCTTATCGAACGGAGGGCGATATGATCCTGTTTAATAGAGGGGCTTGTTTGGAAGGATTAGTTCTGTCGGTGATGATGAGGAGAACGAACGTTCGACGGGTTTAACGAAACGCCACGGCCTTACCGAACGGAGGGTGATGCCTCCTAATAGAGGGCTGGTCTGGATGGATTAGTTACCTGGTTGATCCTGCCAGTAGTCATATGCTTGTCTCAAAGATTAAGCCATGCATGTCCAAGTATAAACGAATTTGTACAGTGAAACTGCGAATGGCTCATTAAATCAGTTATAGTTTATTTGATGATGGCTTGCTACATGGATAACTGTGGTAATTCTAGAGCTAATACATGCAATCAAGCCCCGACTTCTGGGAGGGGTGTATTTATTAGATAAAAAACCAACGCGGCTCGCCGCTCGTT